AGATAGAGGTACGGTTTTAAGAGTTACAAACTAGTATGTATAAAATAGATAAGCAACAAGGATGATCTTTAAGGTGTGGATCAATTTGATGTTTTCACTGTGGCCCAAGAGTCACAAATGGTTCTTACACTTTGGGCCAAATATTGGGAGACTCAGAGGTCTTAATGTGAGTACTGTGTGATAAATTTAGCATTTTCTTAACAGGAAAATAAATAACTGAATTTTAGGGATGGCAGGGGGTTAAGAATGAAACTACAAAGTGCTTGAACTCTTGAAAATGCAATTCTTCCTGTAGAATATCAGATAGATAGCAACAGTTCTGATTATGAAGGCTATAAAAAGGTAAGAGAAGATTGTGGAAGTTGATGTTAACCTTGGCAAATATTCACTGTCCTCCACTTTGCTGGGAAAGGAGTATATACTTTCCTGCCCAATAACTTTGGACTTGGCCATGATATCTTTGCCCAATTAATTGTGAGCAGAAGTGAGAACACGCCAATGATGCTTTAAGAGACATTGCATTTTACAATGGATCTCTTGTTCTTTACTGTGTCTAACTTGAGAATGAACATGTACCCCAAGGGGGCTGCTTCTTCAGCTTGGGTCCCAGAATGAAAAACATGTATCAGAGTCTCAGCCTGTCTAAATCCTGGAAATGCATGGCAGTATAAAGGTAATATGAACTAGGACTAGCCCTCTGTTATTGTAGGTAATGAAAGATTTCAGATTGTTTTGTTTCTTTAGTAAAGCTGGCTAACATAATTGCTTCTTACAGACCTTCCCGAAAATAGTTGCTAAGTTGGAGACTGGTTTAACATTTTTCCTATAAGTAGTTGTTCTAAAATATGTACAATTAATCTTTCCCTTTATAGACAACTTTGGTCTTAATATTTAGAGATTTGAAAAAAAAGTACTATATAATTCAGTTAAAATTAATGTTCGATGGTTTCAAGAGTTGATATAAATGAGAAAAATGACATTTTCACTGGTATAAGTAAGGAATTTATTTTTTTAACTCTTTTTAATAACAGAGATGTACATATGTACCTGGGTAGACATTCATTCATTCATTCATCTAATATTCATGAATATATACTGTACACAAGTCACTGTACACAAGGCTTTGTATTGATCAGTGAATAAAACATAGTCCCTGCCTTTGTGGAGTTTAACTGTGTTTAGATTGGAGAGAGACAAAATAAATGTTATCTTTGATTATTGATCAAGCTGGAGTCTGATAGGTTATGTGCATCTTAATGTCACCTTTCTCTCTTTGTAATTGATTAGCATTGTCTGGAGAGGTACACTTAGTATCTGCGATATCCAGTTCTACATTGGATTCGTTATATACTATAGTGTAACAAATTACATACACTAAAATGTAGTAGCATAAAGCAACAAACATTTATTATCTTACGCAGTTTCTAAGGGTTTAGAATATGGGAATGACTTAGCAAGAGAGTTCTGGCTCTTGGTCTCTCACAAGGTTATAGTCAAATTGTTGGTTGGGGTTCCAGTCATCCAATGGCTTGACTAGGATTGGAGAATTCAGTTTTAAGTTCTTTGACTTGCATGGCTGTTGACAGGAAGGCTTAGTTCCATTCCAGTTATTGACAAATGACCTAATTTCTTTGTCATGAAGGAATGTCCACAAGGTTGCTGAGTATACTCATGACATGGCAGCTCTCTTTCTTCCTTTGCAATCTGTGTGCTATTTATTTATTTATTTATTTATTTTTGCCTTATTACAGTGGCCAGAGCTTCTACTACCAGGTTTAATAAGAATGATGAGAACAGGTATTCTTGCCTTGTTCCTGATTTTAAGATGAAAGGATTCAGTCTTTTCACAATTGAGTGTGATATTAGCTGTAGGCCTTTTACAGATAGTCTGTATCAAGTTGATATAATTTTCCTCTATTCTCAAATTGCTGAGAGTTTTTTTCAATGAATTCTATAAAATGATTTTCCTACATCAATTCATATGGTCATATGATAACTCTTCTTTAGCTTATTAATATGGTGATCTATATAGATTGATTTTCAAATGTTGAAAACTCCTTACATATCTAATATGAATTTCAATTGGTCATATTGTGTGTTTTGTTAATATATATATTGCTAGATTCAGTTCACTAGTATTTTTGTTGAGGATTTTTGTGTTTAAGTTCATTATGGATATTGACCTATGGTTTTCTTTTTTGTACTATGTTTGTCTGCTTTTAGTATCAGGATAATATTGGTTTTATGAGTTGGAAAGCATTCTTTTCTTTTTTGTATCCTAGAAGAGATTGTGTAAAATTGGTCTTAACTCTTCTTTAAATGTTTGGTAAAATTCTGCACTGAAGTGACATAGGAATGGCTATTTCTTTTTCAAGAGTATTTTAATTAAAATTCAATTTTTAATAGTTACAGGACTATTCAGGTTATATATTTCATCTGGTCTGAGTTTTGATAGCTTGTAGTTTTTAAGTAATTGGTTCATCTTTTTCTAAGTTGTCAAATTTATGTGCATAAAATTGTTTATAGTGTTTTCTTATTATCTTTTTATTGGCTATGTAATCTATGGTAACATCTCTTCTTTCCATTCCTGATATTGATGATTTACATCTTGTATCCTTTCATCTTTGCCACTCTTGCTAGAGGATTGTCAATTTTATTGACTTTTTTTAAGAACTAGTTTTTAGTTTATTAATTTTCTCTATTGTTTTTTTCTGTATTCAATTTCACTTATTTATGATTTAAATTTTTATCATTTCTTTCCTTCTGCTTCTTTGGGGCTTATTTTACTTTGGTGAAATAATGAAAATACTGTTCCATAAATCCAGAAGAAACAGAAATCTAGAGAATCGAACCCTGCTAATCCCATAAAGACTTCTGATTTCCTGAAAGGTGGCTGAGAAGCTGAGCATAGCTTTTGACAGCCCTATGGGTTTAGGAAGATAAAAGTTGGATTCTAGGCCCCAGAAAAAGATAGGGGAGAGGCCTTGTATAACCACTGTGTTTTCAATTGAATCCTGAAGACCACATAAGTTCAAATTCATATTTCTTTTCTTCATATTTCTTTTCCTTGAAAATGGTAACATTACTAAGGGCTAAAGAGTTACTGGAGTCTAGCGGGCAACAGCATGCCTGGGTGAGGAAAAAGTGGCAGTGAATCTAGGGGTCAAGTAGGTGGCAGGCAAGAGCAGATAGTAGCATTATCATGAGGTTGGTTACTATGGGGAAAGAGGGGTGTGATTAAGCAAAAAATAAGTACATTAAAGATAATGGGAAATAATTTAGAAATTTGGAAAATGAAAAGATTGTATAGTATTATTGAAGTTATAGGTGTAGATGTAAACTTGTATTTTTCATAGTATATATACTTTGATTCAAATTACATATATATATATATAGATTTATCTATTCATTTACCCCTATGTATCTATATGTCTATCTACCTATAGAGAAAGATATTGAGAAATGAAGAGTGACATAGCTGTGCACTAAGGTGACTCAGAAGCAATGACAGTCTAGAAACAATGAGCACACAAAATACTCAAATCTTGATTCCTAAATGGTATCTTCCACTAAATTAACTCAAATTCCTTGGAAAAAATAGCTTGTTCCAAGGCCGATGCAAGGAAAATACATAAGTCAGATAATAAGTTCTCAAAAGATGAAAAGGGAATGTCAAGAAGGCGCAGAGCCAGTTTGAAGGGACTCCCACTGGCCAGAACTGAGATAATTCGAGTATCAAATAAATTTTGATATGACATATAATAACTTTTGAATTAAATGGGGAGTCATGAGTTCATATTGATATGAATAAATAAATGAGGGGAAAGAAAAATTCCTTTCTTATAATGCCATGCAATAAATTAAGAATGATAGAAATAGAAACTATTGACAGAATTTGCAATCATTTTAGTGGTGAAAGATTTAGGCTAAATAATCAATGGATGCCAAATACAAGGGAGTGAATTATAGCCTTAGATTATCTCCCCACAAAATACTAATCAATCACAAAGATAGAAAAGGTGACATTATGTTAGAGAAAAAGGGCAGACACTAATTTAACAAAATTATCAAGTTTGACAACACCAGTGTGCAACAGGCTGGTATTGCATGCCCTCTGATGTGATGTGCTGAGAGAGCCACAATTTTTCTGTATGTCCTGAGAGTTGAGATGGGCAAGATTGGAAGATATTGTGCAAAATTAAAAGTCTATATTCTAAAACTGCAAAGGTCACGAAACACAGAAAATACTGAGCAGCTGTTGAGACTGAAGGAAATCTGAATTATGATAATAAAATGCAACATGTTATCTCAGATTGGATCTGGGACCAGAAGGAAAAAACAAAAAGCCTTTGATGAAGCAGTTGGGATGGATGTGATTGCAATATATGGATTGGACGGTAGTACTGTGTCAATATTGATTTCCTGATTTGGATAGTTGTGATTATACAGGAAAGTGCTTTATTTGGGGGAAATAGACACTGGCATATTTTAGGGTGATTATATCTTTATCTTAGATGGTTCAGAGAAAGAATAATGATAATGAATGAGTCTGAATGTGTGTATAGGTATATTCATGTGTGTATGTATGCAACAGCTGTTCCCTCCAGAGACTGAGATTCTAATTACCACCTCAACCCAAACAAAATCTTAAAAATTTTCAAGACTCTTCAATTTTTGTATAATGCATAGAAATGTTACACTAAAAAATAGCTTTTATTCTGAAAATCATAATTATTAAAAAAGGGGGCTGAGAAATTCCTAGCTTTTCCCCCAAAGAGTAAGAAAACATTTGATTTGATCTTTGAGTTTAGGAAGTAATGACATTCTATTCTACTAAAGACCCATAGTGAATTTTTTAAGATCTTGTGTGTCTTCTGATTTAGAGAAAGGAAGCACTGACTGTTAAAAGAAACATGCTATAGAAAAAAATGATCAAGAGAATAGAGAAAAATAGGAGACATAAGCCAAAACAACATTGTTTAAATAAAAAAAAAATAATTCTTCTTTTACTTTTGTTTGTATTTTATTTTACTGGCATATATCACGTTCTTTAAAACTTTACAGAGCTTAATTTTATAATATTGTGTATATGACAGAAATAATACTAAAGCGTAACTATATCAAATTAGCTAAAGACATCCAAGCATAAATAACACTCGTTGGGATTATTTATAAAGGTCTGGAAATCAGTTCTGTTATGCCCCAAATTTACATTAAACTAAGGTAAATTCCAAATTAAGCCATTTTGCAGAAAGTGAAAGAAAATATCAGGAAGGAAATAACAGATCTATTTATACCCTCATATTTATTTATTCTTTAGTTCTTTCTGTCAAGGTTTTCAAATTCCATGTAAATATATATATTTATGCATATATGTATATAAATGTATATATATATATATATATACTAAATGTACTAACAAATGGAAAAAAGTAACAACAAAGTTAAAGAATTTGGAATGTTTGATTATTTTTGATGAGGCTTTAACAACTTCAAAAATTTGTGTGTTCCTACATCATTCTCATAGGTTATAGATTTGTGTAATAATTTGTAATAAAGAAAGGAAAGGAAAAACATTTTAAAGATAACAGCAGGGAAAAAAATCTTTCTTGCTTTTTTATATGAAGATCTCAATAATCATGTGAACCTGATCATGATCTTTCACATGACTCGCTCTCTACTAGTCTAAAATAAATGAGGTAAGGAATGATGAAAAGAACACTTTAATCTCAGATGTGTCAAGAAAACCCTTCCTAGATCTCGGTTCGTAACTTCAGTGTAGACCCCTTCATTTGTTGCTCATAGTGCATGTCAAATTTCTCATTTAGGGCTACTGTAAAGTAATTCTTCCAGTCTCCTGCAATCCCTGTAACAAAAGAGAAAAAAAACAGTAAATATTATGTCTTCCAGCCAGAATAATGAAATTTTCTAATATACATCACTTTCATTAACACTAATCAAATTTTATTCTTGTAACCCTTAATTATAGAAATAAAATATATACCATAAATACTATATATTTGAGAGTGCAAACAAGGATTTGGCCTGATTGTTAAAACAAAACAAAACAAAACAAACAGCAAATTTATTTCTCTGACCTTCCCCTGTTATGCTATCAATACTTCACTTAATTTTTCTTCTCCAATTTCCTCTGAAATGCTGGGGCTCCTGAGATCCATGTTTTACCTACTCCCAAGATATTAAATATCATCTTCATGCTGATAATATTAAAATGCAGACTTACATCTTCATATCCAAGTGCCTACCTGATATGACCACTTTCATTCCATATAAGCATCTCAAATTCACCTAGTTTAAAAATAAATTCATTTCCTTCCCTACAAAATTGCATTTTATTGGTGACCTTTTCCATAACCTGGTCAATGGCAACAGCAGGTATCCACTGCATAAACTTAGCAGTTATCCTTCAACCACAATATCTAATTCTTTATTTATATTCAGACTTTCTTCATAGCCATTGCCTTCTCTCCATTTCTGCTGCCACCTACAGAGAAGCTCCTCAGCGTTTCCCACCTGTGTGTTACAATAGCCTAGCAGGCTCTTCTTTTTGCTTCCACATCCAACCCTCCCCTGACAGAAGGAAGTCACCTTGTATTTTAAATTAATCAATTGTTCAATTGTCCCTTTAGCTCAAGGAGATCTAAACTTTCCCAATGAAAAGACCCAAAAAGCAGAAGATAGAAAATGTGTCTTGAGAATCATGTGGGGTCTGAAGGTATAACAGTACAAAGCCCTTTACAAACATGGCCATTATTTTAAGTTTGTTATTTTATCTTAAAAATATATGAGGACATTATGGGAAAAGAAACTGAGATAATCTGAGGATTCAATAATTTAAATTTACTCTGCATGTTAACTCTCTTTCATGTGTGCCCTATTTTCACCCAGTGGCAGGTTTGTTATTCCAATTGTTTACAAAATTCCTGACCCTCTCAATGACAATTTGGTTCCAAGAGCAAGATTTTCTCTTTTCTGTTTCTGCTTCACATATCAGTAAGACTGGATGTCCCAATACTCTGCATATCCTACATGCCTTTGGATTTATAAACTGACTATATCTCATCAAGACCACCATGCCTCCTCCCAATAGATGTCGCTTCATTGTATTTTGATATTTTTGCTAAGCCAAGCTGTATTTACCACTAAGTGTTTTGAAACTTAGTCTTTTTTAAAACAGCTTTATTGAGGTATAATTTATATACAGAGAACTGTACATATTTAAAGTATACAATTTGATAAGTTTGGAAATTTGCCATTTAGTCTTGAAAAATGCCTTCCACTTGGTTAAGGAAAAGCTGACTAATTGTTCTAAGATTGTTTCTTCATCTCAAAATTAGATTATAATAGAATTTTCTCTTAACTCTTGCATTAGAATTTTAAAAAAATTAGAATTTACAATTTATATGATGTATGTGATGCAGCACCAAGGCACAAAGACTTAATAAGTAATAGCTAGCAGAGTGTGGTATTAGTGCTAGTACTGAGGCTGGGGTGGCTGCTGGTCATTCTTAATATAATTTGCTGCATATACGAAGTAATCAACAAGTAATAGTAATTTATTAGTAGTAGTACTAATATTTTATGCTTCTGCAGAACTGGTCACTCAAATGTGAAACATCTCTGAAGAAAACAAGCAGGGTCCACAGGCATGAATAGATCTTAATAGATGTTTGCCTATAACTATTTCAACTTATGATTTCCTACAGCAATGGAGGCAAATAACATGACTATCTCACCCTTTCTCATGAAGGGAGATACTTTTTGGTTCATGACTTCATCCGGTAGCATTGTGTAATTGGTAGATGGATTGTTCTTCATCTCCTGGAATGAAGTGTGTTTTATAATCTTGTCCACAAGCTCGTCTGATGCCTTCCTTCCCAGAAATTCTATCAATTTCATCACCTCTTTTCTGATATTCTAAGAAGAAAAAAATATTTTGAAGACTCAGTTACTAAAATTGAATACATTACTTTGTGGATAAAAAAGGACACCGAAAGAAAACTTTTCTTCCCTCCTCTTCCCCCCACTGATATTGGAATTAGGATTCTAGTGAGCAAAAACATTTCTCAGGGAAGTGGTATTTTTTAACTTCTCTAAGCATAATTTTCCTCATTCATAAAATGAACATAAAAGAAACTTCAAAGATTTTTAGAACACTAAATGAGATGGTGTTTATAAAATATTTATTTTAGTCAGTTATGCATAATACATGCTCAATAAATACTATCTATGAATATAATATACACTCTTAAAGACTACAGTCCCCTTTGACAGATCAAGTTTGAGGTTGAAAATATGCAGACAGCTTTCAATTCTCTTTTAATTTATTGATGTAACTAGTGAGAAGCAAAGGAACCAGAAAGATTAAGAAAGGGTGTAAAAAGTCAAACACTCAACATGGAACAATATCAGATTTTCATGAACCATAGCTACAAACATCCCCATCTCTAGTCACTTCTATAGCATACCCTATTATTTGGCTTAATCATTCAATGCAACGATTCTCAAAACCAACTATAATGCTTATTCTGGTGTATAGTTCCCTTTACACAGAATGCTGTTCTCTAATTCTCTGTCCTACAAAATACAGCTTGCCTGTCAAACTTCAGCTTAAGTATCACCTTCTTTGGGATAATTTCCTCGACTATTCCAATTTGAGTTAGATAACTCTATTTTTGCTCCCATAAATCCCTATATAAATCCATTGTACCATATACGTATTCTCACGTTTTTTATTTACTTGTTTTCCACAAAAAAAGGTAGTATCTCTACATAACAAGGTTACTGTCTTTTTCTCTTTCTACTTGATATGTTGTAGAAACAAGAGAAAACATTTATTCTTCTGTTCCCCATTCACTCAAATAGAGAAGAAACCTAAACATGGCCATTTTTGACCAAAATAGGGAGTAAATGGACATGAACAATTTGGAAGGGCAAAATGGTTGGATTAACTAAAACATTTTTTTCGTGTGCCTTTTAAATTTACTGTCTTCAATATTCTCATTACAGAACACAAATTTAAGTAATAAAATAAACTACAGATCATGGCTGCTTCTCATTCCAATTTGTTCTGTGTTAAATTCTATCAAGAAGTAATAATTCAGTTTCTAAAATAATACTTATGATTTTATTTTAAATTTGTCCTCATCAAAACAACTCTAGAATTACTGTCACATGAATCTTAATAATTGTGCAAAGATGTGTACAAGACATGGATATCAATTGCTTTCTTGGTACTAATAAAGAATGAGGGAAGATATTTCTTACCCCTTAATAAAAAGACCCAGTATTTTGTCTTTCATTTTAAAATTATTTGATATGTGCACATATGTGCTTTAAAGAATAAAAATCAATATAGCACCCTTACCTACTACCCAATGTATGCAATAAGACATTCATAATTGGTTGAGTTTTTCCATTTGCAAGTTTCCAACTTCATTCTTTTCATTCTCCATTCCAATTTCCACAAACAACAACAAACTTGCTACCCTGAAATTGACCTAATCAATCCTGTGCTTTACTCTGTAGATTTGAGACTCATGTATGTAACCCTAGACAACATATGGTTTGGTTTTACCCAATTGATGTGCACATTTGAAGTGTATTCCTTTTCATTGCAATATAATATTTAATTGTAGAATAATAGTATAAATCATGTATTGATTCCTGAATATATGTATATTTGGATTGTTTCCAATTTTTATGGTCATGGGGAATGCTGCTATGAAGGTTGCTGTATATATAAACTACTACACACAAGTCAGTGTTTCTCAAGAGCATATATCTACTAGTGGAATTCCTGAGTCTTAAACTATGTGCATGTTTGCCCTCCCTAGGTAACACGTTGTTTCCATAGTGTTTGTATATTTTTATACTCTTAACAGAAATGTGTTATTTCTCACTAACATACATCCTGACTGGTATTTATTATTGTCAGACTTTTTAATTGCTGTCAATCTGGTGGATGTGAAAAGGCATCCTAGTAATTTTTATTTTGAATTACCCTGATTATTAAAAAAGCTCGAAAAAAAAACAGATTATGAAGAAATTGTGATGTCCTCACTCTTTTTCATATTGTTGTTCCAGCATTCTCTTTACTCTCTTCTTCTGGAAGTTTGAGTTGATATATGTGAGACCATGTTAATCTATCTTATATATTCATTACCTCTTCTGAAGTATTCTGTTTATCTCACTGTGGTACATCCTGTGGACTTTCCTCAGCATCATCTTCTACATTAATAATTCACTATTTAGCCATGTCTTATCTGTTATTTAAACTATCTTTTAATTTTCTAATTTTAGTTTCTAAAATTTATTTTAGAAATTCTATTTTGCTGGGGCTTTTCAAAATCTGCTTTATCAATTTTAGTAATCTCTTGTTTCTTTGTAAAATTTTTAATTTCTTCTTTTGTTTCTTTAAACATGTTCAGCATAGTTATTTTATGGTCCTTGTCTGATAATTCCTACCTCTATGCATTTGGAGACCAGTTAACTCTTCTTGCCCATTGTGATTCCTTGTGTGCATATGCGTGTGCATGTTGTTGTTGTTTTGTTTTATGAACTCAAATTCCTTCTTTTATCTTTGGTAAATTTTTGAGACTTGGGTTTATATGTATTCACTTACAGAAGGTTTTTATTTACTAGCTTCAAATCTGTGCTAAAGTATCTGGATTATTTTAACTTTTGGAGTTGGCTGCATCATTTATTTAAAGGCAGAATTTTGTATTTACCATGTTGTCAAATTCTAACATTTTGAGAATTACTAAGTTGCCATATGTTTTGAGTTTCTCACCTCCTTCATGTCTTCATAGAAAAGAAATAGCACTTGTGGATTCTCTCTCTTTTCCCACCAAGATTTTGTGTGTTCATACCAGGAACCATAAGGAACTAAAATTAGAGAGAAGAACAATGTGAGGACATAGCATCATCTTTATATAGCTTGAAAATGAGTCTTCAGACAAAGAAATATAAATAAATGATCATGGAATGAAAACTAGAGATCAGCTGCACATCTGAAGCAAATTTCTCTGCAGCAAAAGCAGCACAGTATGTTGAATAAACTATATACAGAAACATATTCTCAACTTTCATTATTATGACATGGTTTATGACTCAGGGGAAAAGTGAAAGAAGACTCCATCCATTTGATTCAGAGCTTATGAAAGCATTTTTGAAAATGGTGTGTGTGTGTGTGTGTGTGTGTGTTTGTGAAATCAGGTTGTTAGTGAAAGGAGTTGAGTAGTGGAATTATCAACATTATTATGATCAGAATTCAGTCCAGGTCTCATATGTATTATTTAAAAACTAGCTTTGGGGCTTCCCTGGTGGCGCAGTGGTTGAGAGTCCGCCTGCCGATGCAGGGGACAAGAGTTCGTGCCCTGGTCCGGGAAGATCCCACATGCTGCGGAGCGGCTGGGCCCGTGAGCCATAGCTGCTGAGCCTGCGCGTCCGGAGTCTGTGCTCCGCAACGGGAGAGGCCACAACAGTGAGAGGCTCGCGTACCGCAAAAACAAACAAACAAACAAAAAAACTAGCTTTGGTAACTGAAGCTAGCAGCTATATAATTTTTGTTACACCACTCACAGTTTAAATGGTAAGAGGTGCCCTCTTAGGGACCCTTAGTATCATTCTCACTCTAAAAAATTAGATTTTGGAGATGATGTGGTATGACCATATACAGTTTCTTCCTTTCTCTTCCCTCATCTTCTCTCACATATATCCAAGTATTTTACCCAGTAAAAAGCTGACATGATAATATAATGATGTGTGAGTCAAAGTACTCTGCTTTGCATTAAATCGTTACATACCTCTTCTGTTCTTTGACTCTACCGACAATTTATTTATTTATTTATTTATTTATTTATTTATTTAGTATAGTTGGCTTACAATATTATAGTGGTTGTACAACATAGTGATTCAATATTTTAATAGATTATACACCGTAAAGTTATAATAAAATATTGACTATATTCCCTATGTTGCCCATTACTTCCCTGTGACTTATTTATTTTATAACTAGCAGCGTGTACCTCATAATCCCCTTCATCTATTTTGCCCCTCCCCATCCCCCTCCCCTGTGGTAAACACTAGTTTGTTTTCTGTATATGTGGGTAGGTCTGGTTCTGTTTTGTTACATTTGTTTCTTTACAGAAAAAGTCATATAATGATTTTTATAGTGATCTTATTCGTTCATTTTGCAGAGGTACATTATCTTTCTCTGCCTTATAACACCTGTTTGATAATCTTGAGACATGTATTTTATTCATGATGCTTTAGCATAAAATTTTCCAAATGTAGAGATAAGCATAAAGCACATATACCACATTTTCATTGAGTCAATATTAAATTTTGTGGATATAAAAATGGTGTTATTAACTTTTTTCCTTACAATTATTACTACAGGATTAGAATGGCCTTCTTTAGTTAATACTTGATTCTCCTGAACCCTTTATTTCTCAAATTTGAATACTCAAGTTGCTTTAGTTGGGAGTTAAATAAAAAGACAAAATTTCCCAGAATTTCTGCTCAGGTAACTCTTACACTGTTCTGAGAAATCTAGTTGAATTATTCAGACTGCAAAGTAGTTAGAATGAGTAAGAACTTTGTAGATATTCAGACTTCTTTGTGAATTCTGGCCCCATGTAGTATCTGAAATTTTTCTTAGAAACAAATGAACATTTTCTCTCCTCTGTTTTTCCCCTCTTGTTCAATGTAGTTGAAATAACACACTGTGAAGTGCTTCTGTAATAAAAAGAGATGAGAGAGAATTGGACACACACACATCTGTATACTTATTTGTAGGCACCAAACTAGAGTATCCAGGTTCTGCAATTTTCCTTCTGCATCTGGAAACTCTATGCTTGTTCTAAAGTTCAAGGCCTTCTAGAATTTCTGTGTTTTAATTAAGGACTAGGAAGGATAACAGACCAGAACGGACAACAAAAATTTTTGCCCAGAGATGCCATTTGTCTTGTATCATTTACCTTGAAAGAATTCAGAAAAAGAAACTGTTCATACCTTCTCCATCCATGAATTTTTCCACAAAATCTTGAAAAGAACCAGGATCCGGATTAGCAGTCACCATTAAAAAGAAATAGTAATAAGAAACAACCACATCCTTGGCATTCCGGCAAACATAGATGATCTAAGAAGATGAAATTAGATATTAAATCAGCTAATATTTTTCAAATATAGTCTCACCAAGATTTAAAAAGGAAATGTTTATGTTTTCAACTATAAACATAACACATATTTATTGTAGAAAATATATAAAATATATAAAATTATAAAGAAGAAAACTTAAATAATCTAAAGTGACATCATCTTTTGCATTGTTGTTCAATGTTAGTTCTCACTTTTCATTTTTGTGCCATATTCATTTTTATTTCACATATTTCATTTGAGTGTCTCAAATTCCATTGATATAAAACGGATGAGGCAGATTATTATCCCCAATTTATAAGTACAGAAACTAAACTGAAGCTTAGTCAGAATACATGGTTGAGAATAAATGTACCCAATGAGAGTAAAAAGTCTTCTGGCCTTTATGCTACACCACTATTCCTTATAGCAAAAAAAAAAAAAAGTCCTGTTATTTTCTTGCTTGCAATCTTGAAGAAAAAATCATGTTTATGAGGTTCTTTTTAAGTGCATGTTGCTGCCAGTGAAAAAATATAATCTTCACTCACACCTTGTTTAGTTTCCATTTTATATAGCGAGCAAACATCAATAAATGAACAGACAGGAAGCCTTGGTTTTAGACGCTGGTTCTGGCACTAATTTCTACCATCTTGTGCAAAGCACCAATCATTTTGGACCTACATTTTCTATCTACTAAACAAATGAGTTACATCAGATCGTTACAGTCTTTTCTAGGTCAGACACTCAGTGCTGCCGGAAAAGAGCTGCAAAAGTAAACTTCATCTCTCTGGTCTTCCACTTCCTCCTTCAGGCACCTGTGAAATGCCATTGGGAATGGCTGCTCTTGACTCTCCACTCTTTCCTGGATATGATTAGGCTCATAACCTGTCTTACTCAAGTTAATACATTTTCAAACAATTTTAAAGAAATCTTTTTGTTTACTCTAAGAAGTATGGTTTTCATTTTTAAGGTCCCACTATAAAACGCTCCAAATGCTACAGTAAATAAAGTGAACTTTCTTTTCTCATCAAAGCTATCTTTAGCCATATTGAACTTTTCCAACCTTACTTAAAACTCTCCCTAGTCCTTTTTGCCTATTAGCTGAATGGAACTCTTTGCCACTATCTCCAACACTTTACTTCATAATTTTCATCCCTTTTTTTATTCATGCTGTTCCCTCTGTCTTGAATATTCTCTGCATCTCAAAATACTATCCATGGATTGGTTCAAGATGGAGGAGTACAAAGATGTGTTCTTACTCTCTCTTCCAAGAGCACCAGCATCACAACTAACTGCTGAACAATCATTGACAGGAAGACAGGAAGACAAAGAAAGATACCCCACCTCAAAAGACAAAGAAGCTAAAATGAGATGGTTGGAGGGGAGCAATCATAATAAAATCAAATCCCATAAATGGGGGGTGGGTGACTCACAAACTGGAGAAAAATTATACCACAGAAGTCCACCCACTGTAGTGAAGGTCCTGAGCCCCACATCAGGCTTCCCAACCTAGGGGTCCAGCAAAAGGAGGAGGAATTCCCAGAGAATCAGACTTTGAAGGCTAGTGGGATTTGATCGCAAGACTTAAACAGAACTGGGGGAAACAAAGACTCCACTCTTGAAGGGCACACACAAAGTAGTGTGCACATCAAGACTCAGGGGGAAGGAGCAGTGACCCCACAGGAGACTGAACCAGACCTACCTGCTAGTGTTGGAGGGTCTCCTGCAGAGGTGGGGGGCATCTGTGGCTCACTGTAGGTACAAGGACACTGGCAACAGAAGTACTCCTTGGCATGAGCCTTCCTGAAGTACACCATTAGCCCCACCAAAGGACCTGTAGGCTTCAGTCCTGGGTCACCTCAGGCCTCACAACCAACAGGGAGGCAACCCAGCCCCACCGATCAGCAGACAAATGGATTAAAGTTTTACTGAGCTCTGCCCAACAGAGCAACACCCGGCTCTACCTACCACCAGTCCCTCCCATCAGGAAGCTTGCACAACCCTCTTAGATAGCCTCATCTACCAGAGGGCAGACAGCAGAAGCAAGAAGAACAGCAATCCTGAGCCTGTGGAAAGAAAACTACATTCACAGAAACACAGACAAAATGAAAAGGCAGAGGACTATGTACCAGATTAAAGAACAAGATAAAACCCCAGATAAACAACTAAATGAAGTGGAGATAGGCAACTTTCCAGAAAAAGAATTCAGAATAATGATAGTGAAGATGAGCCAGGACCACGGAAAAAGAATGGAGGCAAATATTGAGAATATACAAGAAATGTTTAACCAAAACCTAGAAGAATTAAAGAACAAACACCTAGAAGAATTAAAGAACAAACACCTAAAAGAATTAAAGAACAAACAAACAGAGAAGAACAATACAATAACTGAAATGAAAAATACACTAGAAGGAATCAATAACAAAATAACTGAGGCAGAAGAACGGATAAGTGACCTGGAAGACAGAATGGTGGAATTCACTGCTGTGGAACAGAATAAAGAAAAAAGAATGAAAATAAATGAAGACAGCCTAAGAGACCTCTGGGACAACATTAAATGCACCAACATTCGAATTATAGGGGTCTCAGAAGGAGAAGAGAGAGAGAAACGATCCAAGAAAATTCTTGAAGAGGTTATAGTCAAAAACTTCCCTAACATGGGAAAAGAAATAGCCACCCAAGTCCAGTAAGTGCAGAGAGTCCCAGGCAAGATAAACCCCCGGAGAAACATGCAGAGACACATAGTAATCAAATTGACAAAAATTAAAGACAAAGAAAAATTATAAAACCATTAGGGGAAAAATGACAAATAACATACAAGGGAACTACCATAAGGTTAACAGCTGATTTCTCAGCAGAAACGCTACAAGTCAGAAGGGAGTGACATGATATACTTAAAGTGATGAAACAGAAGAACCTACAACCAAGATTACTCTACCCGGCAAGGATCTCATTAAAATTTGATGGAGAAATCAAAAGCTTTACAGACAAGCAAAAACTAAGAGAATTAAGCACCACCAAACCAGCTCTACAACAAATGCTAAAGGAACTTCTCTAAGTGGAAAACACAAGAGAATAAAAGGACCTACAAAACAAACCCACAACTTAAGAAAATGGTAATAGGAACATACATATTGATAATTACCTTAAATATGAATGGATTAAGTGCTCCAACCAAAAGACACAGGCTCACTGAATGGATACAAAAACAAGACCCATCTATATGCTTTCTACAAGAGACCCAATTCAGATCTAGGAACATACAGACTGAAAGTGAGGGAATGGAAAAAGATATTCCATGCAAATGGAAATCAAAAGAGAGCTGGAGTAGCAATACTCATATCAGATAAAATGGACTTTAAAATAAAGAATGTTACAAGAGACAAGAAAGGACACTACATAATGATCAAGGTATCGATCCAAGAAGAAGATATAACAATTGAAAATATTTATGCACCCAAACAAAGGAGCACCTCAATACAAAAGGCAAATGCTAACAGCTATAAAAGAGGAAATTGACAGTAACACAACAATAGTGGGGGACTTTAACGCGTCACTTTCACCCATGGACAGATCATCCAGACAGAAAATTAATAAGGAAACACAAGCTTTAAATGACACAATAGACCAGATAGACTAAATTGATATTTATAGGACAATCCATTCAAAAACAGCTGATTACACTTTCTTCTCAAGTGCACATGGAACGTTCTCCAGGATAGATAACATCTTGAGTCACAAATCAAGCCTTGGTAAATTTAAGAAAATTGAAATCACATCAAACATCTTTTCCAACCACAATGCAATGAGATTAGAAATCAATTACATGGAAAAAAACATAAAAAACACAAACACGTGGAAGCTAAGCAATACGTTACTAAATAACCAAGAGATCACTGAAGAAATCAAAGAGGAAATCAAAAAATACCTAGAGACAAATGACAATGGAAACACGAGAATCCAAAATGTATGGGATGCAGCAAAAGCAGTTCTAAGAAGGAAGTGTATAGCAATACATTCCTACATCAAGAAACAAGAAAAATCTCAAAAACACAATGTAACCTTACACCTAAAGTAACTAGAGAAAGAAAACAAACAAAACCCAAAGTTAGTAGAAGGAAAGAAATCATAAAAATCAAAGCAAAAATAAATGAAATAGAAACAAAGAAAACAATAGCAAAGATCAATAAAACTAAAACGTGGTTCTTTGAGAACATAAACAAGATTGATAAAACTTTAGCCAGACTCATCAAAGAAAAGAGGGAGAGGACTCAAATCAATAAAATTAGAAATGAAAAAGGAGAAGTTACAATGGACACCACAGAAATACAAAGCATCATGAGACTACTGCAAGGAACTCTATGCCAATAAAATGGACAACGTGGAAGAAATGGACAAATTCTTAGAAAGGTATAGCCTTCCAAGACTGAACCAGGAAGAAATAGAAAATATGAACAGAACAGGCACAAGTAATGAAATTGAAAATGCGATTTTAAATCTTCCAACAAACAAAAGTCCAGGACCAGATGGCTTCACAGGTGAATTCTATCAAAGATTTAGAGAACAGCTAATACCCATCCTTCTCAAAGTCTTCCAACAAATTGCAGAGGAAGGGACATTCCCAAGCTCATTCTATGAGGTCACCATCACGCTGATACAAAAACCAGACAAAGATATTACAAAAAAAAAATTACAGACCAATAACACTGATGAATATAGAGGCAAAAATCCTCAACAATATACTAGCAAACAGAATCCAACAATACATTAAAAGGATCATATACCATGATCAAGTGGGATTTACCCCAGTAAGGCAAGGATACTTCAACATACACAAATCAATCAATGTGATACACCATATTAACAAGCTGAAGAATAAAAACCATATGATCATATCAATAGATGCAGACAAAGCTTTTGACAAAATTCAACACCAATTTATGATAAAAAAAAACTCTCCAGAAAATGGGCATAGAGGGAACCTACCTCAACAAAACAAAGGCC